TGTTTGGTCCTCGGTTGAAATTTTCTTACTATGTGGGGTCTGTTTTGTTATGCCTATCTTTCTGGGTGCTAACCTCGGTCGATGGCAGACATGGAATGGGTACAAGGGGGTTTCCATAGACCACGCTCCCTTTGCCTCTCTGAGGGGGCCAGGTTCTGGCTCATGGTCCCAGATAGGCTGAACTCTAATTGACTGATGACCCAGACTAATACAGTACAGGGGTACCTCGGTTTAAGAACTTAATCCAGTCCTGGAGACTGTTCGTGACCTGAAAATTCGTAAACCGAAGCGAATTTCCGCATAAGAAATAATGGGAAATGATTTAATGCATTCCTGACTTTCCAAAAACTTCACTTCAAAGTAAATTTTATACCTAATTCACCCAAATCTTCACTTCAAAAGTATGTTCAAGTTATTGCCCGAAACGCTGCGCGTACTAGTGGCTTTACAAGATTGTAAATACTATGCTATGTATTCTCACAAACCCAATGTACCTTCTTGTATGTATATAAATAAATAAATAAATAAATTACTTACCCTTGCTGATGACTCCTGTTGGCCTATGGAAGATGGTGAGGAGGGGGGAGGAGGAGAGGTGTTACTGTTTGGAAGGGGAGTCCCCTTCCATTATAACATCAGTCAGTGAAGATTTCTCTGGAGTGCGCACACTGGCACGTTTTGCTAGCATACCACTAGGTTCTGGTTGTGGCTCACTGCTTGATTTTCTCACAAGGAAATGTTCCATTGAAGATTGTTTTTCCCTTCTTTGCAACACTTGTCTGTAGTGAGGCATCACATTGTCATTGAAAAGATTAAAGCATCAGCCTACTACAGCTTTCTCTGGGTGAGTCATTTCAATAAAAGTTTGCATTTCTTCCCACATCCTACACCACGACCTTGAGAAGAAGTATAGGTTAGGAATTGTCTCCAAAGAATTCTCAAAGAATTACTCATTATTGCTATCTAAGATAATTAGACGAGCCAAAACTAAATACTACGAAGATAAATTTACTCAAATAAAGAGCAACATTAAACAAACTTGGAGCACAATTTCACAAATATTGGGATCAAAGAAATCTTTAAATAACAAACCGACTCTCCTGTCTAATAACGATGGTCAGCTTTCAGCCTCTGATTCTGCTATTGAGTTCAATAGGTTCTTCTCTTCCATTGGTTCATCCCTTGCAAATGATATTCCATCTTCCAGTACTGACATTAAGGACTATCTTACAGGTAACTATCCACAGTCTCTGTACCTAAAGCCTATTAACTCCACTGACGTCAATGAGATAATCCTTTCCCTTAAAACCAAGTCTGGTGCCCTTGAGGAGATACCAACTTTAATTTACAAAAAAGCCTCCAGATCTTTAGCCCCTGCTATTGCTTTGCTCTTCAACAAGTCACTTGGACTCCAAACCTTTCCAGATATTCTAAAAAAAGCGAGAGTAACGCCTGTCCACAAATGTGGTGACCCCACAGATGTTAACAACTACAGACCTATATCAATCCTGCCAAACTTGTCAAAAAATTTTGAAAAACTTATATATAAGCAGCTTTACTCATATCTAGCCAAACTCAATATACTTAGCCCTTGCCAATATGGCTTCAGACCCAAAAAAAGCACTAACGATGCACTTATTAGTATGCTTAACTCGATTCATACAGCTCTTGATAAAAAGGAGTTCCCTGTTGGGTTATTTGTGGACCTGCGTAAAGCTTTTGATACTGTCAACCACCATAACCTCCTTCTTAAATTACATCATTATGGAGTCAGAGGACACTCCCTACAATACCTCGAGTCCTACCTTACTGACAGGCTCCAATATGTTTCTGTGAATAATACAATTTCTCCCACCCTACCCATCAACATTGGTGTTCCTCAGGGCAGCTCCTCTTTCTCATCTACATTAATGACCTTCCAAATGCCTCCCAACACCTCAAACCAATTCTATTTGCTGACGACACAACCTTCATTTACTCCAGTCCTGACCCTCTTGCTCTAAATGCCACAGTAAATACTGAGCTAAATAAAGTCCATCTTTGGCTAACTGCCAACAAACTCACCCTTAACATTGACAAAACTTTCTATATTCTGTTTGGCAATAAATCCTCTAGTCATATAAATCTCAAAATAAACAATACCCAAATTTGTAACAAATTAGATGGCAAATTCCTTGGCATTCTCATTGACCACAAGCTGAATTTCCAGGGACACATTCTAAATATATCAAAAAGAGTTTCAAAAACTGTGGGCATTCTTTCTAAGATCAGATATTATGTACCACGCCCTGCCCTGGTGACTCTCTATTACTCCCTTATCTATCCTTATCTCAACTATGGTATTTGTGCTTGGGGTTCTACTACCCAAAATCACTTACGTCCTCTAATTACCCAACACAAAGCTGCTATTAGAACAATATCCAACTCTGGCCCCAGACATCACTCGGTACCCCTACTCAAATCTCTGAATATGTTAGATATTAAGTCACTGCACATTCTCTCATGTGTATTATACATATATAAAACGCTAAACTATAATGCCAATCCTGATCTTAAAAGCTTCATAGAAGGTTGTAACAGAACCCATGAGCACCACACCAGAAATAAATACAGTTTTGATATTCCTAGAGTACGTCTTAATCAAACTAGAAATGCTCTGCAAATCAAGGGGCCCAGAATGTGGAATGACCTTCCCAACCATGTTAAAGACTGTACCTCTCTCAACCAGTTTAAGATAAAAACTAAACACTACCTAATAAATTCCCTGTAATCTACCTCACTCCTCTATTGTCAACCCATGTCTGTTATTTTCTTTTTTTTTAATCAACACTGTTTGTCAACCTATTGTATTTGTGCTGCTTTTTCAGTCATGTTCCCCCTTTTTTTTATCTTTATTTGTATTTGTTCTCAACACTTTTTATTCTTTATGCTCAATTAGTATTAAGTTCTAGATATTAATGTTTTCTTGCCCGAAACGCATTGCGTAATAGTGGCTTTAGGCATTGTATGTACTAGCTCTATCTATATATCAATCCATTAATGTAACATCACTTGTATGTATATACCTTACCTGAATAAACATCTGAATCTGAATCTAATTGTTGAGGAACGAACATTCTCTACTGCCCCATCCTCCTCTGAAGAAATATCCTCAGCTGCCTCTTGTTACTGCTCCTTTTGAAGGGCTTCGAGTTCTTCGGTGGTCAGTTCTTCGTTGTGTTCCTCCACATCAGCACCATCCAATTCCAAGCCCATTTTCCAGCCCAGAGTAACAATTTCTTCAACAATAGGCACTTCATTTACAGGCTCAAACCCCTCAAAGTTTAGGTCTTATATTCAGCCCACAATTTTCTCCTGCCAGAGATCAGGGTTCTTTGAGTCACTTCTTGCCAGGCTTTGTCAATGAATTTTAAAGCACTACAAATGTTAAAATGTTTTTTCCAGAACTCTGAGGGTGAGGTTTGTGGCATCAGTCACTTCAAAACATTTATGGAAAAGTGCTCTTTCATAAAGTTTCTTAAAATTTGCTAAGATTTTCTGGTCCATAGGCTGAATTAGAGGAGTGGTGTTAGGAAGGAACTTTATTGCGAGAAAATTATATTTGTTCAACAATGCATCTTCCAAGCCTGGAGGATGAGCAGGAGCATTGTCGAGGAGAAGCACGGCCTTGCGTGGCAAACTTTTCTCCTGCAGATATTTTTGTATGGCAGGGCACACCACATCATTCACCCCACTCCGTAAAAAAAAAAAATCCTCATTACACATGCCTTATTATTAGCCCAACTCATCACATACATTTGGTTTTTCTGCACATCATACTTTTTGAAAACCCTTGGATTTTCAGAATGATACACAAACAAGGGTTTAATTTTCAAATCGTCACTCGCATTTCCACACAGCACAAGTGTAAACCTATCTTTCATAGGCTTGTGTCCGGGCAATGATTTCTCCTCCTTGGTAATGTATGTCCTCTTAGGCAATCTTTTCCAGAACAGTCCTGTCTCATCACAATTAAACACTTTTTGGCCAGCTCAGCTCATCCAGCCAGCTTTTGGCCAGCTCATCCTCATACCTCAACACTATGAATACCACTTTTTAAATTTTTCAAACCATCCCCTGCTTGCCTTAAAGTCTTTCGTATCTGCACCCGTTCCAGGGGTTTTCTTTTACAAGGTCTTCGTGCAATACCCTGGCTTTCTCACAAATGATGGCCTCTGAAACGCTATCACCTGCTAACTCCTTGTTGTGTATCAAAATTAATAACTTTTCCACATCAAGTATTTGTGTTCTTTGCTTCGTGATTGTTGATACGCCCTTTGCCACTTTAGCACTCAAAATGTCCTTTTTCTTGTTAAGTACAGTGCATATTGTTGACATGGATTTGTTGTACTGCCTAGTTAGTTCAACAACATGAGTATCATTGTCATGCTTACGAACGATCGTGTTTTTCCTCTATAGTCATTCTCACATGTGATCTCTTGCCTTGAACCTTACCACTGGCTTTCTTGGGACCCATGGTGAGATATATAATAACTTTTATGGTCAAATAGCCAAAAGTCCAAAAAGACTGTAAATCCTTGCGAAGAATTCAGGCGGGATAGTCACTGGGCGCAAGGCACTGTTAAACTGAGGTGCGATCGCCGTGCCACCACGCGCTAGGTTGGCCGCACGCGTATCTCGAGGTAAAGTTCGTATCCCGATTCAAATCGGGCTCGTAACCCGAAAAGTTTATAAACGGGCGTTTGTAAACCGAGGTTCCACTGTATATCACATATCAGTCCAATTGCTCCATAAAGCCGAAGGGGGCTCCCCTCAGAAAAGGAAATAAAGTCAGTGAAGAATTTACAAAATATATATAATGTTCACTAATAAGTTACAGTACTACAGTAGTCTGTTTTACACTCCAAGGACTGCAAGTTTTAATTAAGAGAAGAGTGCAAACTAAACAGTTTGAAGTTATCATTAAGAGTATTTAATTTTAGGGAAAATAATATATACTGTATTTACAAAATATTTATCTGAAATTTCAATTAATGGTGGTGATATTTATTTCTTCTCAATAAAGTTTGCATGCAGATGATAATGTTGTGTAAAAATATGTGACAAAACATTAAATTTAACTATAACAATTATATTTTTGCCTATAGATCTTCTACCAATTAACAGTATCAGGCAAAAATTATGTAAATATCTGTACATAAAATACACATGGGAGAAGTTATGACTTTTGCAATTTTAAAATTGCTTTAAAGAAAATAATATCATTAACAATATGAGTTAAGTTTGTTTGTACTTATGTACAAAATACAAGAATTCCTACTGTACAGATAGCTCTGAAGTCATCAGCTATAATATGAAAACATTGTGTTTCTTTCTGCACTAAACAATTTTTGGCTTGCACTGCTTTTGGGATTATTTATCCCCATAACTTAGTATTTTTCATTTATGCTCGTGTTAACGCATGCTGTTATACTCACAACTCCATTTTTACAGGTTGCAACTCCCCTGATAGCTGTTAAAGCCTCAAATGAGCTGTGATGTGATTACGAGTTACATGCAGAAATATATCTTCCACAGGGGGTGTTTGTTTTCATAATATGGTTGATTTAAAACAAATACATGTTTTATATGCTTCTTATATAATATCTAATATATAATAATTTAACAATCTTTATTTGATCAGACATTGCAAAAAATAACTATCTGGAATTTCTCTTAATAAACAAACATGTTCATATATTAATTATTTGACCAATTGGTTACAAAGTTTCAATGATTAACAGTTTCTTAAGGCATAGATGACTAGCTACAAGGTACTTATACAAACTGACTAGCACGTAACTAAATTTTTAAAGCACACAATATTGTACGGAAGTCCATATGACACACTTGGTAGTAAAAATTCACATCTGACTAGTCTGAAAAGTCATAGTAAATGTACACACACTGACAAATAATGTTACCCAAAGAGATTTATCTTCATAGGAGTCAATGACTAAAGTTTGCTAGTACAGTGTGCCCATGTTAACCGCTGACACACTATGACACTATAGATGGGTAACGGTCCACCTGTCAAGTTGACTTCGATAACCCCCTCTCCAACTGTAGACAGTCTAACACAGCCGCACCAACTGATGACCTGTTGGAGGATACAGGCAGTCAGTGACACAGTCAGTCTGTGGGGAGATCAACCTGTAGACAGAACAGATACTTCCTCTGGCCAAAGCTACTATGATGTGATATAACATTTAGGGATAACAAGAGAGATTAACAAAATAAACACGCACACTTTTTTTTTACCCTTGACCCTATGTACAGCATTTTCTCGGGTAGCTGCTTGGACAAAAGAATAAATTCACTGTGGATGTCAATTCATTATCTGGCTGGTGGCAGTTCAGTACTGCTGCCCCCACTGACGATCTGTTGGGTAGATGGACAAGAGTGACTGAATGGTAGATGAGCGAGTGCCTTAGGATAAATGATGTGAAAGTTTAATACTCCTCTGAAGGAGAACGAATTAAGTTTGAGAACATTGCAAAATAAAGTGCCACAAAAATCAGCAGCAAAATTTTTAAAGTAACATCAAACAATGAATATCTATATAAAACCAGCATTGAATTTAATGAAAGGCCAATTTTTGGGTGAGCCCCAGTAGCTCCCCAAAGCTACTACAGTAACTCTAATAGTGTGCCATTTTACCAAGTCCCATCAGTGGTGGAGTTCTAATGCCTACCGGGAACCACTAGCCAGAATCTGGCTCCCTCACAGAGGCATAGGGAGCAGTGGCATTTATATATTAAGTTACTTGTTTATGCCACAACAGAGGAAGGCCCCCAGATAGTCAGCGAAACAAAACAGACCACACTGCCGTCAAATATCACAGCCTCAAAAACCAGCTATAGAAGTCTTAATGTAAACAAGGAATCAAAATTTCCGGAAACTGTCACTAGCTCGTTTTCCACACCTGCGCCTCATTTGGGGGATGGAGGGAAACCGACCATGATCAGCTGGCAGCTCCACCATCAGTTCAACCCAGTCTTGCGGCTACACCATCCCCCTGGTGAGTTGACTAGCACCCTATAATATAGTGACTATAGCAAATACTTTCAAGTGAGAATATCAGGATTCGAACCCTGGTCAGGATGGGATTACTGGGCACTGCACCTTCACTTTGCCCCCTGTGCTCCCAGCAGCAATTGGGGACCAGAATGCAAAATGCTTTAAAGGTCATGTTCCTAGAAAAACAATATTGGGCGAGGCTTTAAAATGAGCCGAGGGGGAAAGAAAACAGCTTTAGCCTGATAACACAAGCTAGAAGACTTTTGCTCCTTTACCCTCCAAACGATTAAAAACAAAATGAGTCAGTGATGTATGATGCTGCAATTGTGATGGGATGATTTTCATTGCTCTGTCCAAAACCTTTCCCAGTACAATAATGTCTTTATAAAAGTGAGGTTTCCATGTTTGGATCCAATAATTCAGATGAGTCACATTCACATTATTTACATTTATACATGTTATGAAATTAAGCTAAACTTGCATCTTAGTGCAGTAGAGTATAAAGTATTGCTACAATACAGTATATTATTGACAGCAAAAATATTAATTTTAAGGTTTGTGCCATTGTCATTTTCAATGATAGTTCTTACTTGCCGAGTACTGTACTTTTAAAATGTCTTCCATTTTTGATACCAAGGGGAATTTACTGGTTCTGTGACCATTTCTGAAATTTGTTTAGATCACTTAAGCCGAGTAGAGCTTCAATTGTTTCAGATTTTTAGAGACAGAATGCCTGTTTGCCTTACAAAAGGTCCCTTTTATCCAACAATTAACCTTCCCCATGAAGCAGTCCACAAAAACATTAAAGCTCGATACTCTTAATTAATCTTGAGTTGTGCTTGAAACACTTAAATTAGTGGCTTACAAAATACTGTATATACAAATACTGTAGCCACTAAATACCTATCATAATCTGATCCTCTAGTTTTGATGGACATTGTAACTCAAGTCCATTCTATTCCTGGTTCATTTTTGTTGTTGGCCCTATTGAATTTAAATTTCTATATTACTCTATGTTCTGTTAATTAATTAATTAAAAACAAACTTATGAGCGAGTCCAGTTGCTGTTCTAAACTGCACCCTATATTTCCATTGTCATTAATGTAAATAAACTACTGAATCGATATTGTAATAATCTATGCCTGTCATCCTTAAGCATCACATTTTTTGCATTATTTTGTTATTTTCCATGAATGCTCTCATTTTGCTAGCTTTTTCTTTAAAATCAAGTGTTTTACCCCCACACCTTTGGTAAAAGTTTTCTTTGCCCGAAACGCTTTGCGTAAGAGTGGCTTCATAGATTATGTAACTCCTGTCCCAACAATTGTACATTACTCTTATGTTTTTTGTATACATATTTTTGAATAAACATTGTAATACACTGTATTATAAATTATTATTTATATTACATACCATTATTTCAAAGAATTTTAAAAAGCTTCCATTCATTTATACTGACATTTTAAATTTTATGCAAAGATTTAATTACAATTAACAACAACTTACCCTCACTATAAACTTTCAATGCCTACATCCTAAGCCCATTATGGGTCTTTGTTTTCCACTACCACCCCACAGGACAAGAATGGGGTTCACTACTATACCCACAAGACAATAGGTCCACTACCACCAAAAAGTGGCAAACGGCCAACAGAAAAGTGGCAAACGGCCAACAGAAAAGTGGCAAACGGCCAACAGAAAAGTGGCAAACGGCCAACAGAAAAGTGGCAAACGGCCAACAGAAAAGTGGCAAACGGCCAACAGAAAAGTGGCAAACGGCCAACAGAAAAGTGGCAAACGGCCAACAGAAAAGTGGCAAACGGCCAACAGAAAAGTCCCAACATAAAAGTGGCCAATGCCCAACTCAACTGGTAGTGGAACCCAACAAGTATTGGGTCCACTACCCCCCACAGGACAAGTATGGGGTCCACTACCACCAACATGACACGTATGGGGTCCACTACACCCCACAGGACGAGTATGGGGTCCACTAGCACCCACAGGACAAGTATGGGGTCCACTAGCACCAACATGACACGTATGGGGTCCACTACAACCCACAGGACGAGTATGGGATCCACTACAACCCACAGGACGAGTATGGGATCCACTACAACCCACAGGACGAGTATGGGATCCACTACCAAAAGCAGGATGAGTGTGGGGTTCACTACCCCCAACAGGATGAGTATGGGGTTCACTACCCCCAACAGGATGAGTATGGGGTTCACTACCCCAACAGGATGAGTATGGGGTTCACTACCCCCTACAGATATATCTAAATGGGGATAGAAATGAAGAAGAACGGATTTCTTTTTTCTACAAAGTGTCAGGGACTGGAAAGCTAGTGAAATGGTACATAAAGACAAAATAACAAAATCATTAAAGGAATGGGGTGTAAAGAACAAAAGGAAAGGGAACATGTTACTGAAAACAGTATATACCAACATAGATAGAGTGAGATAGGAAATATTGGAGTTGAATATAATTCGACTCAAGGTCCCAGATATTGTCGCATTAACAGAGACGAAACTTGAAGAAAATATTTGAAATGAGGTCATATTCCCAAGGGGCTACTCAGTTTGGAGACGTGACAGGAAAACTAGGAAGGGAGGAGGAGTGGCTATGCTGGTGAAAGAACACCTGAAGGTAAGAGTTAATAATTGAAAACCCTTGAGATATTGACAGTGGCATTCCAGGTCTGGAATCAGATGATAAGCTGATAATTTTGAATGCCTACAGCCCACCAGCAAGCAACACATGGACAAATGAAGAACTGGATGACAAACGAGAAGGTCTCATAATGGTCATGAGAGAGATTATGGTAAGAGCTGACAAAGATAAATCCAGATTATTGGGACTGGGGGACTTCAACTTTAAGGCAATAGACTGTGAGGCCTACAAGGCAAGAACAGAGGACATTTGGACAGGCAGATTTGTAAACCTCATTTTGGAGACATTCATGTATCAACATGTCAAGCAGGCCACAAGAATAAGAGAAGGGGATGTTCCGTCAGTGCTGGATCTAATATTCACCAGGAAAGAAGAAGAGGTATTTGACATCCAGTATCTTCCTTCCTTGGGAAAGAGTGATCATGTCCTATTGGACATTAAATACGCTTTGTAATATAATACAGTAGAGAATGGAGACATTGAAACAGTTACACTATTTCAAGAGAGGACACTATGGGAACTTAGAAATTTTTTTTCATGGGTATAATTGGACAGATTTGTTGCTAAGCAAGGAAGTAAATGAGATGTATGTCAAATTTTACAAAATATATGATGAAGGCACACAAACATTCATACCAAAACAGAGATGCAGACCTAGGAAACAGGGTTGGTTCAACAGAAATTGCGAGAGGGCCAGAGATCAAAAGACACAAGCATGGAATCATTATAGGAAGAGGCCAAACCCCCAAACATACCAGCGATACAAAGATGCAAGAAACAACCACACAACAGTGAGGAGAGAGGCAGAGAAACTTTGAGAACAGTACAGCAGACAAATGTAAATCAGATCCAGCCCTTTTCTATAAATTCATTAAAAGCAAGCTGAATGTGAAGGATAATATTTAGAGGTTGAAAATGGGTGACAGATACATGGATACAAGAGCTACGGGGAGAGGTTAGAGGCATTAAATATTCCAAAACTAGAAGATAGAAGAAAAAGAGGCGATATGATCACTATGTACAAGATAGTAACAGGAATCGATAAAATTGATAGGGATGACTTCCCGAGACCTGGAACTTCGAGAACATGAGGTCATAGATTTAAACAAACTAAACAAAGCAACCAAAGAAATAAGAAAATTCACTTTCGCAAACAGAGTGGTAGATGATTGGAACAAGTTAGGTGTAACCTGAGCTGTGCTAAAATATCCTGAAATGTGCTAACAATCCGAGTTGTGCCAAAATCGCCAATGCATCATCCTGGGTTAAGTGTTTCTTATCTATCGGTAACTACCACTGTACAATAATTACATATCTCGATGTTAGAATGCATAGCACGTACCGTCTGGAGAGCATGGAAGTGACCAGCACCCACTTGTTGAGTTTGGAGTCATATCGTTCCATTGAGTTGAGGGAAGAAGAGCCGTCGTTGCCTCCCAGCGCATATAGGAACCCATCTATCTCCACAACCTCATGCGTTGACCTGTAAAGAAGGTGGGCTAACAGCTGAGTAGATCTGTATGCATTATTTAGAATATTTCTATTGAAAGTACTTCAGGAATGAGGAACTGCTTTAAGCTGACAATGTACTATTGTACTCATCTTCATGAACACCAAGTGGTGGATTCCTTGGGAGAAAAAGTTGAGAACTTCAAATTTATATAATTAGAAGTTTTTTCATAACTTTACAGTTAGTGAATATACCATAGCACTTTTAAACAGTTTCAGTAAGAAAATTATATCAAACAAAAATAGATCACAATATTTTAGGAAAAAGCATGATATTAATAGTATTCTAATATATATTAGTATACAGTACAGTAAACAAAATTACTATTTTTTTTATTAACAATCCTAGGTAAACACAGCAATGTGCTGCTACCCTCTTCCAAAGACACCTGTCACTGCCCCAGCTCCTCCCCAAGAACTCTATCTTCTGCCACCAGTGGGCCTGCCTCTGATGTAGGATGGCTGAATGTAGATGTCCCTGGTTCTGGGACAATGTCACCTACTGTGGGGGACATGATCCACAGCTGGACCCCCACAGTCAACCAGAAGTGGTGGATAAGGAACAGCAGCAGACATCAGTACAGGATCAAGATGAGACGGATCGCAGCCTCAGCCTCCCTAGCAACTCTCCCTTGGGTCACTCCACTGATCAAGCAGTGGCTGCCCTTCATGAACGGTGGCAGAAACACCAGCAGCAGTCACAGCAGGAAACAGAGCTGCTGCAAGAGCTGCTCCAACATGAGAAAAACTCCAACGATATTGCAGAGCTGCTCACCTACACGAAGGAACTTTTAAGCAATAACTGCCACGCTCCCTACCTCCACCCTCTGCCACCTCTGAACCCTCCAAACATGTGTTCCATTGCCACCCAGATGAAATTTCTAGTGATCTTGAATTCTTATGTAGAGGAACCCTTCTATGCAGGTTAACTGGCAAAACTGTGCTAATCTATATCGAAAACAACTCTATAGATAAAAAAAAAAAAAAACAGCGCTGAATGTAATGAAACACCATTTATTAGGCAAAACCCTGAAGGCTCCCTGAAACTATCCAAACTGATATGTGCTATATTAGTTTGGGGTCCCCTCCTCATCTAATATATCTATCTGTGTGAAAAAGTTTTTATATCCATTTATCCATTATCCATTTATCTGATATTCAGCTAATAGTTCTCTATTTTCTACATTCATTCACATTATGGTAAGAGCAATAATATCTATTTTTTTTCTGTAGAGCCAAGAGCATTTAATTCGTTTATTTTGTTTCTTAGACTTCTACTGTTAGTGTAATGTACCTTAAGTGTATTGTGTATTGTAATGCTATTTAATATTGACAAATGCAAGACCATGCATGTGGGGCATAACAACCAATGCCATGACAATGAAATTAATAGCATTAGAGTACCTTCATAGAAGGTTGTAACAGAACCCATGAGCACCACACCAGAAATAAATACAGTTTTGATATTCCTAGAGTACGTCTTAATCAAACTAGAAATGCTCTGCAAATCAAGGGGCCCAGAATGTGGAATGACCTTCCCAACCATGTTAAAGACTGTACCTCTCTCAACCAGTTTAAGATAAAAACTAAACACTACCTAATAAATTCCCTGTAATCTACCTCACTCCTCTATTGTCAACCCATGTCTGTTTATTTTCTTTTTTTTTCTTTTTTTTAATCAACACTGTTTGTCAACCTATTGTATTTGTGCTGCTTTTTCAGTCATGTTCCCCCTTTTTTTTTTATCTTTATTTGTATTTGTTCTCAACTTCTTTTATTCTTTATGCTCAATTAGTATTAAGTTCTAGATATTAATGTTTTTCTTGCCCGAAACGCATTGCGTAATAGTGGCTTTAGGCATTGTATGTACTAGCTCTATCTATATATCAATCCATTAATGTAACATCACTTGTATGTATATACCTTACCTGAATAAACATCTGAATCTGAATCTGAATCTGATTACAGCAGATTGATGAAGAAAGGGACCTTGGAGCCAAGATCCACCACTCATTAAAAGTTGCACAGCAGATGGGTGTAGCAGTCAGAAAATCTAACCAAACTCTTGGGATAATCACGCATGCTTTTGACTATAAGGACAAGAAGGTAATGGTTCAACTGTATAAATCTCTGATGCACTTAGATTACTGTATCCAAGCATGGCGACCTCATTTTCAGAAGGACATACTGTAGCTGCTCTGGAGAAGGTGCAACACTGGGCAACAAAAGTCAACAGAGCCAAGTCATCTCTCAGAGAAGGACGCTTGAAGGCCACAGGGCTAACAACACTGCAAACCAGGCATGACAGGGCAGAACAAGGAGCAATGACTTCAGGCTCAACAAGCCACACTGTAGGACAGAGAACAGGAGATGCTTTTTCATCCACAGGGTTATTAACCCATGGAACTGCCTACCTGCCAAAGCCGTAACTGCCAAAACTGTGTTGAATTTCAAAATATACCTAAAAAAGATCATCAAGGCAAATGGGGGACCTTCGACAAGCTGCCGGCTTTCTGTCTTCGTTGAGGTTACCGTACTAGGGTTAGTGGCCCTCATGTAAATCAGGTAAAAAAAAATCAGGTAAATCCTTAATTGCACTCAACTCGAAGACATAACTAACATGCTCGAGTCTGAAGCTAGACACAAATCCAACAAAATTATTAATGATGGTAACAAAGTCCATTTCATGTGGATTCCATCTCATGTTGGCCTTTGAATGCATGATGGAACTGATGAGTTAGCCAAAGAATCTGCCTTTAAAGGAGAAATTGAGTATAACCTTGGATTGCCAATAAGCAGTCTAAGAGCAATAGTACACCAAGAACTTTGACAAAATCTTGTAAATCTGAGGCAAAGTGAAATCGACACCAGTAATTACATCTATCAACATACTATCATGCAAGCAGAGCCACATATCTATAGATCATCCAATAAAATCAGCAGACTCCTATATGTTACTACTGCTCAGCTTAGACTCGGCTATAAGTACAGTATCTCTGGGAATTTTCATTATCTGCTGATGCAGACCTGACCAAATGTAAACCGTGTCAACTAAATTATTTGCAAAGGGCGGTGTGCAGGATAAACATATCAATTGTGACACTAGCTCTCCTCATGTCAGTTACTTAATTTAGAAACTGTACTTGTGGTCTATCTCGAGCCCATTGTTGATGTGACAATGTGCATCGAATTTTGTAACTAGCTCGTCAAGACTGTAACATGGTTAGCTAAATGTATTGTGGGCTTCAGACAGAGCCCATTATGTGCCTCTAACTCTTTCCACTACGCCCACAGGATGGGTATGGGGTGCATAATAAATGAACTAAATAAAACTAACTACCCTATTCTATATGAAGTTTAATTATTCAATGCTTAATGCCAGTCACTGCATATCAACACATGCACGTTAATCTTTTCTAACCATTTATTATGACTAATGCTTAGTTCCGATTTAAAACACTGACTGCACTTTCTCCTGATAATCAACAGTTTAACTTTTGGAATGCTTGGATTCAAGTGGCTATCATCCAACATAAGAACTACTCACCCCACCTGGTTGGCCTACCACTTACCTACGAGAATGCATTGCTGTAATTGGCTCCCAGGTATTCCTTCTGGGGTTAAATCTCTCTGCCGAAGACATGCACATTGTACCATCGTTTCCACCTATACAGTAGAGCATTCCGCCTAGTATCGCTGCTCCGCAACTACTTCTCCTGCTCATCATGGGCGGCACAGACATCCACTTGCCGACACGTGGGTCTAGTCGCTCTACTGTGCACTGGTAGTTTGTGGAGTCAAAGCCTCCCAAGGCATAGATGCAGTTATCTGTTGGAATAAAAAGTGACAAAATAACAAAAAAAAAATTATATGCTGTATTTTATAGTTACTGTATAAGGTACAGGTGCACTATCTTAGTAATTATATATCATCCACACAAGCTGAACTGCAGGCCATTCTGGTGTGTTTGGATGAAGTGCGTCATGACGACAAAAATGTTTTTTTTATTTGTCGATAGCCGAGGAGCACTTGTTTCCTTAAACAGTCTAAATCCAGTCTACATGTCCATACTTGAGGATTGTAAGAAAAGGATAACCGAGATACAGCTGAAAGGTCACAATGTGAAATTCATGTGGATTCCATCTCATGTTGGACTAGAGCTCAACGAGGTGGCGGATGACTTGGCCAAACGTGCCACATCAAAACCACAAGTTGACATCGAATGCGAATTCACAATGAGACAAATAAGAAGCAAAATCAGAAATATTCAGGCACAGGCAGAAGTGGAGAGGAGAGGTATAATGTATGAGGGAAGTCAAACCATGCAACACTACATGTATGCGAGTCAAAACACCCATTTCACTTATGGTAAAAGGAGAAATGCTTGGAGTGACTGTGTACATGCGGCTCAGGCTTGGGTACAAATATTACTGGGAATATGGGATAGGTGTTCATGATAATGACACGAAGTGTAAACTATGTGGTATGTTAAGGTCTCACACCCTGGCCCATTATGTTCTTGATTGTCCGTTTATTAATGTATATAGAAACACTGAGATAAGGACTGTTCCTGAACAAATAGCCTGGATGTGTCACAACGGAAAGGTTGATGATAGTCTGGAGAGATACAAGAATTTTGCACCAAGACTGTAATCTTTTGTTAAATTATCTGCATGTCTCTTGCAAATTGTCTGCACAGTAGTAGGCATCTGAAAACAAGAAATGAAAACATAGATGAAAAAGCAGCACAAATACAATTATGTCGACAAACAGCGCTCTTTAAAGAAAAAAACAGACATTGGTTGACAATAGAAGGGTAAGGTAGGTTACAGGGAATTTATTAGGTATAGCTTCGCTTTTAACTTAAACTGGTTGAGAGAGGTACAGTCTTTAACATGGTTGGGAAGGTCATTCCACATTCTGGGCCCCTTGATTTGTAGAGCATTTCTAGTTTGATTAAGTCGTACTCTAGGAATATCAAAACTGTATTTATTTCTGGTGTGATGCTCATGGGTTCTGATACAACCTTCTATGAAGCTTTTGAGATCAGGATTGGCATTATAGTTTAGCGTTTTATATATGTATAATACACATGAGAGAATGTGCAGTGACTTAATGTCTAACATATTCAGAGATTTAAGTAGGGGTACCGAGTGATGTCTGGGGCCAGAATTGGATATTGTCCTAATAGCAGCTTTGTGTTGAGTAATTAGAGGACGTAAGTGATTTTGGGTAGTAGAGCCCCAAGCACAAATACCATAGTTGAGATATGGATAGATAAGGGAGTAAGAGAGAGTCACCAGGGCAGGGCGTGGTACATAATATCTGATCTTAGAAAGAATGCCCACAGTTTTTGAAACTTTTTTGATATGTTTAGAATGTGTCCCTGGAAATTAAGCTTGTGGTCAATGAGAATGCCAAGGAATTTGCCATCTAATTTGTTACAAACTTGGGTATTGTTTATTTTGAGATTTATTTGATTAGAGGATTTATTGCCAAACAGAATATAAAAGGTTTTGTCAATGTTAAGGGTGAGTTTGTTGGCAGTTAGCCACAGATGGACTTTATTTAGCTCAGTATTTACTGTGGCATTTAGAGCAAGGGGATCAGGACTGGAGTAAATGAAGGTTGTGTCGTCAGCAAATAGAATTGGTTTGAGGTGTTGGGAGGCATTTGGAAGGTCATTAATGTAGATGAGAAAGAGGAGAGGGCCAAGTATGCTGCCCTGGGGAACACCAATGTTGATGGGTAGGGTGGGAGAAATTGTATTATTCACACAAACATATTGGAACCTGTCAGTAAGGTAGGATTTGAGGTATTGTAGGGAGTGTCCTCTGACTCCATAATGATGTAATTTAAGAAGAAGGTTTTGGTGGTTGACAGTGTCAAAAGCTTTACGCAGGTCCACAAACAACCCAACAGAGAACTCATTTTTATCAAGAGCTGTATGAATCGAGTTAAGCATACTAATAAGTGCATCGTTAGTGCTTTTTTTGGGTCTGAAGCCATATTGGCAAGGGCTAAGTATATTGAGTTTGGCTAGATATGAGTAAAGCTGCTTATAGATTAGTTTTTCAAAATTTTTTGACAAGTTTGGCAGGATAGATATAGGTCTGTAGTTGTTAACATCTGTGAGATTACCACATTTGTGGACAGGCGTTACTCTCGCTTTTTTTAGAATATCTGGGAAGGTTTGGAGTTCAAGTGACTCTTCATGTTATAAGAAAGATGTGTGTTAGTGTCTATCTTCATAAATTACCTTGTAGTTAACCAAAGTTAAAAACTTAAAACCAAAGAATGTACCAACCACACAGCTTGCTTCAACAGAACACTATCCAAAAAAAGAAAACCTACCTAGAAGAGAAACTCTGCAATAGCGTCGACGGGTAGCCATGGCAGGGCAGGAGGTCCACGACCCTGTCAGTGGATCATACCTCTCCACACTGCTCAGACACGATGCCCCATCGTATCCTGGTATAGGCACATGGCAAAAGTTCACAGAGTCCAGTTAAAGTTACAAATACAGTACACCATCATTAAAAGGTAACTAAAATATATAACTTCCATCCTATTTAAGTAAGTTTGCACAACATTTAATTTAGTTAAGAGCAAAAGATGAGTTTATAATTTGCTCATTAATATGTCCAACCCTAATGTTAGTATTCTTTACCTGCAATCTGCAGCATTAAACCATATTTACTGAAAAGTCTTGTGCTTTTAAATTCACCTTGCACCTAAAAATACAACTCCCATTAATATCCTTTATTTGTATCAACTTTCATTAATCATACTCTCATTATATGAAATCAAACAACAGTACCTGTATATATGTTAATAAAATTATTATTAAATAATAATTTAAAGTAATAAATAAGCAATAAATAAATAAATAAATAAATACAAAATACAAAAAATAAACAATAAATTAATAATAAATACTAATAAATAATAATACAAAATAAATACTAAAATAAATAATAATAATACAGTAAATAATAATAATAAATTATAGCTGATAAGTTAGCCAAAGAATCTGCCTTTAAAGGAGACGTTGAGTGTAAACTTGGATTGTCAATAAGCAATCTGAGAGCAGCAGTACACCGAGAACTTCAACAAGATCTTGTAGATCTGAGGCAAAGTGAAATTGACACCAGTAATTCCATCTATCATCATACTATCATGCAAGAGGAGCCACACATCTATGGATCATCCAATAAAATCAGCAGACTTCCAGATGTTACTACTGCTCGGCTTAGACTCGGTTACAAGTATCTCTGGAAATTCTCATTATCTGCTGATGTAGACCTGACCAAATGTAAACTGTGTCAACTAAATTATTCGAACACCCTCCGTCACTATGTGATGGAGTGCGAAAAGATACGGGAATTCAGAGACTATTCTATAACCAATGTTCCAAAAATGTGAAAATATTTCATTCAAAATGATCTGCTACCAGAAATTTTAGCCAAATATCCCCAGTTTGCTAACTGTAGATAGTAACTAAGTGATTGTACATATCAATTGTGACACTAGCTCTCCACATATGTCAGTCGCTTAATTTAGAAACTGTACTTGTGGTCGATCTCGAACCCACTGATGATATGACGACTTATACTGAATTTTGTAACTAGCTCATCAAGATTGTAACTTGCTTAGCTAAATGAATTGTGGGGTTCAGCCCCCTAAGCCCATTATGTGCCTCTAACTCTTTCCACTATCGCCCACAAGTTGGGTATGGGGTGCATAATAAATGAACTAAACTAAACTAACAGCTCTCGTTGACCATTTTGGGCACATATTTCATCAAATCACTTCATCATGGTGGGGGATTTTTTTGATCAACATCCTTCAAATTGTTCAGCATTTTAAAAGTTTCAATGTGAGCTGCCTGGTTATGCCTGGTTTGCAGTGTTAGCCCTGTGGCCCTAAACCGTTCCTGATACGTGAGGAAATTGTATACCGTCTATTTATTCTCTTCTTCATAGCTGGCAAAACACGGCTCTATTTCAAAATCCAGCTCAACAAAATCATCAGGACTAATGGAGGGACCTTTGACAAGCCATTGGCTTGTCCTTGTCAAGCCCACTAAAGAGATGGTGGCCGCCCCCTCAGGTAATTCTAATTAGTTGAAAATTGACCATATTCTGCACCCTTGGATGTCGGGTCATAACACGAGGCAGATGTTCAGTTCTCCTACATGCTAAGCACACACCTCCAACACAGTAGATTAGGCCACTGGTAACACCGATGCCCAAACAGGATCTTTTGGTCCCCATGGCTGTGATGTTGAGCCACTTGTTGAGGGATGGGTTGTACATTTCAGCTGAAGACAGGTCACATGCCCCGTCATATCCACCCATGACATAGAGGTACCGTCCGAGAGAGATCACTCCAGCGCGTGACCTGTAATTTAAACAAGGAGGGGGTTATTGAAATGCAAGCCGTGTGATGGAATCAGAGGGAAGGAAGGTTATTTGTTGCTTGGTTAGACATTAGAGTTTGCTGGTGGTAGAGTAGGAGTTTGGGAAGCTGAAGGGAAAGCTATGACAGGTGCAATGATGTAGGACGCTGGGGAAGGGGAAGGAAACTAGACTGACCAAATGAATGACTGCACTGCTTCATGCACACATGCACACACACACACACACACACATGCACACACACACACACACACACACACACACACACACACACACACACACACACACACACACACACACACACACACTCGCTCCCATTCACACACACTCACTCACCTCCTGTAGTTCATAGAGGCTACAGGCATCCAGCGGTCAGTGCGAGGGTTGTAGCACTCCACTTCACTGTGGATGGCGAACAGGCTGCCTCCACCTGCCCAAAGGAAGTGTTAGTTATGTTAGTTGATCATCACCCTTAGTGCTAAGATGGCATGCTAGTGGGTGGAATCTTGGAGAGTTTCAGGGAATGCTACACAGTCCACCCACAACTGTGGGTGGACTGGTAAAATTAGTCTTAGAAAGTGAATGAAAATATAATCTAACAGAATGTTGAAGTTGTAATAGAGGATGTCAGATAATTTGCCGATTTAAAAATGGCTCTCAATATTCAGAGATTTTAAAGCATTATTATAAGTTTGTGCTTATGATAGAAAGCGGGAGAGTCCGGTTTAAAGACGTTACATTATATATAATGAAACTGTAGTACCAATATTAGAAACTGCGAGTGATGTTAAAAGTTGCTACAGTGTTAATGTTAAATAGCATAGAGGCTGTTAGTGATGTATAATAATTAATAACTCGCTGTGTCGAGGGGACAGGAAGCCAGTGTATTCATATATACGACTGGTTTTTAATCAAGGTCCCCCCCCCATCCAAGGTCGAATTACTGACCCCGTCCAGGATGTAATCCCACAACAAGCTGACCAACTCCTGCATATCTACTCACTGCTAGGTGAATAGAGGCATTAGGTGAAAGGGAATGTGCCCAACTATTTATCCCACCCAGGATTTGAACGCGTTATTCTCGATTGTGCGTCGAGAAGGCAGCCGACTGTACTACCAGCACCCTCTACCACTCTGATAGGGGATTGAAACCACATTTGTTGTTTCAGATATTAAAGACTAAGTTAGCATACTTAGACAATGCTAGTAAACATGTTAGCATCTAAAGTCGAGTTGAAGGTACTAATATATACTATGGAAAGTACAGGACCTTGGGTCCCTGTAGTACAGTCGGGTTCGGTCTCTACGCACAATCTAGAATTCCGGGTCCATTCAAAATGATCTGCTAATATATATATTCACACATACAGGCTTTCTGTCCCTGAACGGAAATTAATTATATTAGGAATATGAAACTAAATAAATAGTTTATATTATAATATTGTAGTTAAGCAGGAGTTATCCCTCCAGCAACCTGTATCCCGCCTATCCTCAACCCAGCCGAGGCACATCTACCCACCACAGGCAAAGAGGTATGGCTTGACCCCTTCAGGCTGCCTCTCCTGAGTGCGAGGTGAGGTGAGGGTGGCGCGCTGCTCCGGCAGGAGGTGGTACTTGAGGGCCTCCAGCAGCAGGTGGTGACACGACGGGTTCTCCCTCACCAGCGGCTCCGCGTCCACGTTGGAGGTGAGGAAGTCTCTCGACAAGAGCGGCAGCCGCACGTGCTTCAGCAGCTGTGGGAGGCAGGTTGAGGTGCCATGTGTACATGTTGGTCAGGTGTGTGGGCGGGAAGGGGGGTTAACGTGGGTGTGGGGGCTTGGGGGTCTATAATGACACCCACGAATGATGAGATCATGACCCCCGTGACCTTACGAAACATACCTCTTAACTACCAAACTAGGAATGGTATTGGAGTGAGTGAACGACTGTGTGCATTGTGCAGTTCAGTATTGTGTTTTATGAAAGACGCGTATATACGAAAATTTATGGAAGACATTCATAAATGTGAAAAGGTGGTGTGGAGCCAAGCTGACTGTGCCTGCTGGCACTCACCTCTGGCACCAGCTTCTGCCTCTCGGGAAGGTCGTGCTTGACCCAGGACACGACGGCGGTAAAGACCTTCTCCTCACACGGGACGTTCAGCTGCGGAGACGCAATCAACTCCTCCACCTGGAACACATGGCCTGGTCACCTTACTCACTTCCCTTACAACACGCTACAATCTCACCTTAATGAGGGCATATTCTTACATGTGCCAGAGCTACACCTCACCTGTACGAGACACTAATGGTATATACCTGTTTAAATGGCAGCAAGAGGAACTCTTCCGTCCCACACACCTCAGGGAAGTTCTGGAGAGCGAATCTGTGTGAGCGGGTGTGGAGTTCGTCGCAGCTGTGAGCATCTGCGGGGAAGCAAGAGGTGAAGAAGCAGGTGGAGAGTAGCGCGTCCCACACCACCAACATACACCTGCCTGCAGGTGCTCACTTCTTGCCCCAGGCCTCCCGTGTTAAGGTTCCTATACTTCACTACGTCATGCTACGCCACCACAGCATCCGTAAAGTGGTCATTTTCTACCTCACAGAGAACTGTTACAACACTTGACTACTCTACCCAACCCTATGCTTTCCTCACTCTCAGTCACCTATCTTACTAATGTATTATTCTGTATTTTTCACCAAGCCTTAACGATACGGTAATAATAACTTTGTGTAAAAACATCTTAAATACATTAGGCGACCGAGGGACGTGAGAGCGTCCGTTATATGTATGCTGTCGGTATAACCAGTCATACTGGTTATAATTCACTGTGTCGGGGGGACAAGAAGCCTGAGTGTATTCATACAAGTTTGGCTTTTATCAAGTTCCCCCCCCCCCCAAGGTGGAATTACTGACCCCATCCAGGATACAACCCCGCAACAAACTGACCAACTCCTGAGTACCTACTCACTGCTAGGTGAACAGTGAGATGAACTTTCACATTAGGTGAAAGAAAATATGCCCAACCATTTTTGTCCCGCCCGGGATTCGAACTCGGAAGCGTAGATTGTGTGTCGAGAACGAACCCGACTGTACTACAGGGACCCTTAAAATTCTGAACTGCTCCATTACAATGAGCATGAGAGGGCAGGCACAACTCTTGCCCGGTAAAGGAACACCGGCTCATAACCCAACCCACAAACCATTAACACACTACAACATGTCCTCATAACCTACCATTTTTAGTTATAATTAACAATCTCGGGTAGAGAGAGCAGTGGTGCTGGCCAGCTACACTCTGGGACGGGGTTAGAGTGCACATCAAGAGCTTGTCATCACTTGACCTAACATGGGCGTGTGTCACTCGTACATGTTATCTATGCATGGGGCTGACAGTCTAGTCCTGCCCCCTACGAGCATGGGGCCGAGTCTAGTTCTGCCCCCTACGAGCATGGGGCTGAGAGTCTAGTCCTGCCCCCTACGAGCATGGGGCCGAGTCTAGTTCTGCCCCCTACGCCTACGCCAGTAAACTGTGGCTAGAGTACCACAATATATTTCATTATCAGCGAGTGAATTAATTACAAACACAAAGTGCCTCACACCAATTGGTCAGAAATAATGTTCAAGAGAGCATATCACAGCGTGTTAAACTGAGATATAAAGGAAGTGAAAGACACTCACAGAGACGCTTGGTGAGCGACGCCCACCAGCTAATTAACCTCCTACTGATGCATTTATTGTTACTAATTAATGTTCTTGTACGCACCACATGATTAAATTACTTGCCATTGTGTGACGCTCGTCCTCACGTGTGTATATATATGTATATTATATATATTTATTTTGATGGGTGTAGTCATGTAGGGTGTGACCGCCCCCGCCACACTTAACAATGGTTCTCTCCCTTATGCTGAGAGCCTCTTAACCTTCTCTCTCATTATTCCCCCTCACTTTACACCACCATCCTCATTGTTGCCTCCCCTCTCCCCCCTTCCCTGCACTCCTTCCCCCCCCCCCCCCGTCTCCCCCTACACCTCTTCTCTACATCCTCCTCAGTTTTCTCTCAGACTATCACAGTCTCTTGTGTATCCTCCTCCTCCACAACTCCCCCCCCCCCTCACCTTCCCCTTTCTCTCCTCTCCCATTACCTCTCCCCTCCTTCCTTTACCCTCGTCACCCCAAGTAAGTCACTACCAAGAAGAGGCAGCATACCTCACCCTAACCCAAGTCTGTCAGTACTTCCACCAAATCACAATTGCTGAACAATAATGGAAATTAAAAATATTTATTTTCAATAATTTCAAATGTATTTCCAAAGTGAAGAGATTTGTTATGTATTGACACTCATTCTCCCTCCCTGATCCCTGGGCCTCCCGCCGGCGTGGTCACCTGCGAAGCTCCTGATGCCGAGGCAGTTAGAGGGATGAAGCTGCCTCATGAGGAACTTGCAGCAGGCTTCCCGCACGCTCACCATCTGCAGCAGACTCGACGCCGGCAGCAGCACCTGCGTCACCGCCGGGGGGTGGAGAGAGAGACAGTGTTAGTATCCTAGTTTATGTAGGGCAAGGTGGAGGCGCACGCCCCGATGACTTGTGACTGAAAGACCGAGCCCAGGAGCTGCAGCTCGTCCTCAAACACAAGTGTTTATAAAAACTGGTTTGAAAACAGTAACATAATAGGCATAAGTTCGCTAGATTGTTTCAATTGTTGGCGAGACACACATGAAGGAGTTTGGGTGGACATGAATAGGAGCCGCCACCTCGTATGGGGCCACTAGGCCTTCTGCAGTTGCCTCAATTCTTATGGACTGACATAGAAGCGAGCACACACACTACGACGCGAGAGAGGCGAGGTGAACGCCCCAGGTCTCTACAGAACGTACAGGCAACACAACTTAGACATGCTGGGAGACAAGTGACGTCAGGCTGGTAAACACACAAACGACATATAATTCTAAGGACTTGTGTATGGAGAGAGAAGACCAAGACGAGGGGGAGGTAGTGGGAGGCGAGAGGAGTAGCGAGACGGGAGAATGGTAAAGAGGGGGAGGAAGAGACAGAGACAACACCTGACCTGCACATTGTCCTCTGTGATGACAATCTCGCCCGTGTAGGAGTACTCCACCAGCAGCTCTAGCGCCGTAGAGTCCAACTCCTGAAGGGCCACTCGTTCTTGAGTCTTCTCCACCAAGTCACCTGCGGGAGAGACGCAACCGTCAGCCCACCCGTGTCACCTGGTGAGATAGTTCACCTTAGAGGGAAGGTCACCTGAGGGATGGAAGTCAACTGGGAGAGGAGACGCTATTCAGAAGTCATCTGTGGAGGAACTCATCGTGACCACAATCGACTTGAGAATGGTCCAGGACGGACCGAAACGTCGTCGTCCCTTCACTTTCCAGTGTGTGGTTTGGTCAACTCATCGTGACGTTCTTTTGAGGGAGAGATCGGTTAACCAACGCCACCTATTCTTATATAAAGTGATGTCTTGAGGGAAGAGAGCGCACCTCACCTCACCTTAGAAGCTACCCTGGTGATCACCTGGGAATGAGAACCACCTGATCTCAGATGGTAAAAAGACATCACAAGCTAACTAATTTATCTGTGCTTCACCTGTGGTCGATATTCAAACATTGTTTGGGGCTTACTTGATCAATAAGGCTATTTCTGCTCGCCGCCCGCAGATTCTCAATGTCACCACCACTTGATCCGATAAATTCTGGAGAAACTCATCAAATTCCTCCTCAAACGTTTCAGCGACATTTCTCAGTTGCTAAGAATCGACCGGGCCTCTGATATTCATACTGTGTTCTCCAATTGTGCTCATTACAATTCACCTGTAATTTCATCTAATGTATTTTGCGACAATCTGGGCATCAGAGCCAGAGAGACTACCACCTCCCTCGATAGTTCCCACTTCAGTGTGTTGCAATTTCATTGTAGAGGTCTGGAAGTTGACCTTTTATTATTTTCCATCAGTATATTGAGACATACCTACCTCCATCTCCCCCCCCCCTCTCGGTTCCTTGAGATTCCATGCCTGGTTCCATGCCTAGTTCCATGCCTAGTTCCATGCCTCCCCCTCTCGGTTCCTTGAGATTCCATGCCTGGTTGATTCCATGCCTTGAGATTCCATTCCATGATTCCATATTTCGCCTGGCCTGAAGAGGGGTGATGCGGGCACAATAGCTCCCCAGCCGCGCGAGTGCCAGTGGTGGGAGGTGTGTCCATACAATATCTCCGGTGATCTCCTCCAGTCATTCCCTCACTGTTGGAGCACATTCCAAAATACGTGGTGGGGGAGGAGGGTGGTTATTGGTGTGGTGCGTGGAGTACTGTAGGTGCATCAGTACTGACCAGGCCGGGGCCGGTCGTCTGATACACACTGGGGAAAGATGTCACACAGGCTCACTTGAAGCTGCAACACCTGTAAGGACACCTGTGTGCTGAGTGAGGGGGGAATGATGGGATTAATGTGTGCTGGGTGAGGGGGGAATGATGGGATTAATGTGTGCTGGGTGAGGGGGGAATGATGGGATTAATGTGTGCTGGGTGAGGGGGGAATGATGGGATTAAATGTGTGCTGGGTGAGGGGGGAATGATGGGATTAATGTGTGCTGGGTGAGGGGGGAATGGGGATTAATGTGTGCTGGGTGAGGGGGGAATGATGGATTAATGTGTGCTGGGTGAGGGGGGAAATGATGGAATTAATGTGTGCGGGGGGAATGATGGGATTAATGTGTGCGGGGTGAGGGGGGAAATGATGGGATTAATGTGTGCGGGGTGAGGGGGGAAATGATAGGATTAATGTGTGCGGGGTGAGGGGGAAATGATAGGATTAATGTGTGCGGGGTGAGGGGGAAATGATAGGATTAATGTGTGCGGGGTGAGGGGGGAAATGATAGGATTAATGTGTGCGGGGTGAGGGGGGAAATGATGGGATTAATGTGTGCAGGGTGAGGGGGGAAATGATGGGATTAATGTGTGCGGGGTGAGGGGGAAATGATAGGATTAATGTGTGCGGGGTGAGGGGGGGAAATGATGGGATTAATGTGTGCGGGGTGAGGGGGAAATGATAGGATTAATGTGTGCGGGGTGAGGGGGGAAATGATAGGATTAATGTGTGCTGGGTGAGGGGGGAAATGATGGGATTAATGTGTGCGGGGTGAGGGGGGAAATGATGGGATTAATGTGTGCGGGGTGAGGGGGGAAATGATAGGATTAATGTGTGCGGGGTGAGGGGGGGAAATGATGGGATTAATGTGTGCGGGGTGAGGGGGAAATGATAGGATTAATGTGTGCGGGGTGAGGGGGGAAATGATAGGATTAATGTGTGCTGGGTGAGGGGGAAATGATGGGATTAATGTGTGCGGGGTGAGGGGGGAAATGATAGGATTAATGTGTGCTGGGTGAGGGGGGAAATGATGGGATTAATGTGTGCGGGGTGAGGGGGGAAATGATGGGATTAATGTGTGCTGGGTGAGGGGAGAATGATGGGATTAATGTGTGCGGGGTGAGGGGGAAATTGATTCTTGTGTTATGTCTCCTGAGACATAACCTCTGTCCTCTAGTCTATCTATAATCACGTATGTATGATGTCAAATCTAGTATAGTATGTCAAATCTAATCTACAGATTTGCACTGTGTAAATCACACTCCTGCCTATGTGGAGTATCAGATGTAGAGTAAATGTAGATGAGGTTATCTTCTTGAGGTTATCTTGAGATGATTTCGGGGCTATTTTTAGTGTCCCCGCGGCCCGGTCCTCGACCAGGCCTCCACCCCCCAGGAAGCAGCCCGTGACAGCTGAATAACACCCAGGTATATTACTGCTAGGTAACAGGGGCATAGGGTGAAAGAAACTCTGCTCATTGTTTCTCGCCGGCGCCTGGGATCGAACCCAGGACCACAGGATCACAAGTCCCGCGTGCTGTCCGCTCGGCCGACCGGCTCCCTGGGTGTAGAGTAAATGTAGATGAGGTAGAGCAAATGTTATTGTCCTAGTGGGAAGTTATAAATACTGTTAACGTGTACGTAGTGTATTGTTACAGCAGTGTGGAGCAGGCTCATCGTTCCTGAACACAGGTTCATTATTATTTATGGGAGTCAACTCCCAGAGCCCCGGGCCTCGTCTCTTACTGAGGGGCTTACAGTGTTAAACAATATTTATAATTAACTAGGCACAAATGTAACAGAGGTGAATAACTATTTACCTTATAACTTCAATACTGCCACCATAACAAAACGCAAACATAACAAACACACAATTATTTATATTACCTCATTTAAAGAAATCTATCATTTGTCAAACAAATATAATCACAATATAGAAATAATGAAGCAATATTTGTATTTCCCGTATTATGGAATCTTATTATATTCACATACACCATTTTCCTACGTCATTACTAGAGATTGTTTATGGGACTATGAAGGCTGTGTGAGCGTGGGCAGCGGGCGGCCCGCGCGGCCAGAATGCTGCCGTAGGCTTCAACCCCTGATCCCCACTAGTACTCCGGCATGAGGAAACTTTCCCCAATTAATAATACCAATAATTATAATAATGACTGTCAATAATGGTGGCCATAATCAAAATACATTTGACTGAAATTTGCAAAAAGAAATAACACGAAATAAATTACATGCTGGAAATAGAAAGCGCGAGATGCAAGGAAATTGAAAACCAAATGGGACACGCTTGAAAACATCAAGATAAGGCAGGACAACGGAGCAAACACCGTAGTGGGACATGGACATGTCTTAAATTACGTTTCCAATGTGGTTCGCCAGTTATGGGGGGTACGGGAGAGGGGAGGTATGTGGGATAATAGGATTTCTGTTTCCTGCACTTGTCCAGCTTCTGGTGGAGTGTGGGGGGGGGGGGAGGCACTTCCTGCTTGCTGATAAGGTACAAAAAGTAGGAGGCGAGGAGGAGGAGGAGAGAGCATGACAATATCTTGAAAAAAGAACGATTCAACAAAGCTCGCTTGTGACAAAGTTGTACCATAACAGCACGAGTTGTGTAAAGAGATAATAATGTAACATCAAAATCTCATTAAATGACACTTTACTGCGTAAACTTCCTGAGCAGCAACGGGAGATGGGCCGAAATAGTGAATAATGCAGTGTTGTTGGAGCCGTGTTGCTGTTGGCCCTGGTCAGACAGACACGCACACATTGTCCCTCCTGTCTCGCCAGACTACTTCTCCACTTCCTACAGCGCCGCCGCCGCCTCCTTCACTTCCTGGGCCGCCTATTTAGTTCCCCACTTCGGCTTATCCTGCATCTTCTACTCCTCCACCTTCACATCCTCCTGTTCCTCCTTCCCAGTCTATCAGAAAAACCGAGACAGACGCCAACAGCAGTTACGAAGAACCCGAAGAACTGGTATGCCAATGCTGAAGGCATCTCAAAAACGAATGAGATGAAAGGAAGGGGTCACGGGACAACCTGCTGTAAAACAGTAAAAGGAGTAGAAATTTACAGCAGTGATCACCGATGCCATGTTCTTCCATAAGAAAGGAAACACTAAACAAAATATAAAATACTTATAATACTAGAAAGACTAATATAATATTTTCAATAAGGAGTGCAAGTGGTAATATAATTCTGGTCACGACTTTACAGTAGTTTGTACAAGCTGAAGACATATCCACTTAAATTGTAACATGGAATGGTTTATTGATCATGTATGGTTTAACTGTGTACTCAAGCAGGACGGATAAACGGGACACAATCACAAATGTAAGCACAGTAAAACAGACAAGACCAGAAGCACCCGCAATGTCACGGAAGGAAACATATGAGAATGAGGAAACAAAAGCAGTACGAAAATGAGAAAGCAACCATTGAATGATCAAGTAGTTAGACTAAGCACAGTAGTGTAGGAGGACCGACAGACAAGATGTGATAGAGGCAAGTGGTCACTAAGCAGAAGTCAAGGTGGGAGGCAGCATAACATTGTGACGAGAGAGAGTAAGACAGCATACCCTCGTCAAAAAGGCTGTACTAAGTCGTAGACAGGACAGGCAAGGTGGAAGACAGGTTACTTTAAGCTGGCCTCAACCACTCCTACTCAACCCGCCCTCTATCCCTCTCCTTCCCCCCCCCCTCCAGCCTCCGTCCCCACAGGTACTAAAGGCGACCTGGCCTCCCCCCCCCCTCCCCCCCTCCATCGGCCAAGACTCCTCACATGAGGG